GTTTGTCACCTTATCCTATAAAAAATGTACGGAAACGATACGATTTTCCTCACAAACATATATTCTATTGTATACCTTAAGCGCAAAGCGCGTAATTAAGTTCTACTAGCGCCTAAAAATCAAGAATCCAACTTTTTGTCGTTCATTTGAGCACATTTTCAGAAAGATAAATGATTGTTGAACTTATGTTTTTTTAATCAATCAATTGCTATTTTTACATTAACTAAAGTGGTTTTAGTGGCTTATGGTGTATTTTAAGTCCGCATGAAGGGGTTGCTGACGGTCTTGCAAACTCGCGGCCTTGCAGGCCGCGAGAACTGAGTCAGACTAAGCTATAAGAATCGCATAGACTAACAGCGTTAACATCCAGAAACTAGACTGGAGGGGTAAACACGATAAATGAATTGTTAAACTCAATCAATTTTTTAGTCTCCATCAAACATATGGGAAGCCGTGGAATGTAAGTGGCTGTTGAAATTTATTTTGTTAAGTTATAATAAACTTTATTTCGGCTGAGAAATTCTGAAATTTTGGATATCTTGGGCAGCCTTGTAATAATATATTTACTAAATACAGATAAACGTCAACTCCCTGCAAGCTCAGCCGCTGCTGTCGTAAGTGGATTTCTGGTCGTTTTTTTACTGCAGCTCGTGATGAAAAATATCGATCACTGTAGAAATACACAATATTCCAAAAACCAATTTTGATACATACTTGACTAAATAGTAAATCAGTTTGGTTTTACAGTATCCAAATCAACTATTGATGCCATCCAATCCATTCATACACTGATGGAAAAACATAAAATAAACAATAAAGACATCTAGCATTCATAGACCTAGAAAAAGCCTTTGATCGAGTTCCACGTAGGCTGGTATGGCAGGCACTTCGTGCCCAAAGGGTGCCAGAGTATTACATCGAACTTATAAAAGATATGTACTGCAAGGCCAACTTGAGAGTCAGAAGCCTAACCGGCGTGAGTAAAGCTTTTGAAGTCAAAGTGGGTGTCCATCAGGGATCTGCTCTTAGTCCCCTCCTATTCATTCTGGTGATGGACTATCTTACAAAAGATATACCTGCCTCATTGCCATGGACTATTCTATTCGCGGATGACATTGTCTTAGCTGCTGATACCGCAAGACATTTGCAGGAAACTCTTAATACGTGGACACACGCTCTTGAAAAGTACGGCCTGAGGGTGAGTAGGAGTAAAACTGAGTATTTGAAATGCCCTTTCAGTGGAAACATGGTATCTGAAACTATCTGTATTGGGACAACACCTATACCTACAGTTGATAAATTTAAATACTTGGGCTCTATGCTTACAACATGATGCAAATGTTGTCACAGACGTGGCCCATAGAATAAGAGCCGCGTGGCTGAAATGGCGATCACTTACAGGGGTATTATGTGATCCACGTATTCCCATAAAAACTAAGAGCAGATTTTATAAAACCGCAGCACGTCCCGCGCTATTGTATGGTTCTGAATGTTGGACAACAAAAAAGACGCATGATCAAAAGGTCCATACTAACGAAATGAAGATGCTTATGTGGGCGGGAGGTGTGACTCGGCTTGACAAAGTCCGTAATGAACGTATACATTGCAGCTTTAAAGTCGCACCTATTACAAATAAAATCATTGAAAATCGCCTAAGATGGTACGGACTTATTAAAAGACGCAGCGAAGATCATGCAGTTCAAATAGCTCTAAGCTTGAGAAGAGAAATAGAGGCCGCCCGCCAATCACGCAAGAGACCTAAGGAAAGGCCAGTTGCCGGATGTGACAACCCAAGACCGTTTGTCTTGGCGCAGACAAGTGAGGAGACCTGACCCCAAATAACGGGATCAGGGATGGAAGAAGAAGAAGAGATATATACTTGACTAAAGTAATTTATATGTTGTGTATCTATATAGTTTTCTCATCTGGTTGGGTTCTATAAATATATAATTATAAATTAAAATGAAAAGATAAATAAACATAAATATAATTAAAATAAAATAAATACAAAAATACATATATAAATAAAAACCCAACCAGATGGAAGACCTCGGCAGGGGAGACCAAACGGCCGAGGGTTAGGAGGAAAGGGAAAGAAACTGGCGGACGATGCGGGCGGTATCGAGGAGCACCGCCTTCTGCATTTGAGCCCGGTCCGTCACGGAGTCCCAGTCGCCTCATATGACCGGAGAGGCTGACTGGGATTAGCCCATTCGCAAAGACGACTACAGGAATAATTTCGGCCGGCATACCCCCCCCCCCCCCCAAATGTCGGTCACCTCGTGAACCAGGTCTAGATATTTTGTTCGTTTATCTGTTTCGGCTTTCACGAGGTTTTCGTCATACGGAATGGTAATGTCGACCAAAAATATCCTTGACTGTGCCCGGTCCATCAGCACAATATCAGGCTTATTCGCAAGAATAGTCCTGTCCGTGATGATGGCCCGGGGCTAGTAGAGCCTGGCGCGGTCATTTTCGAGCACGGCTTCCGGCAAGTACTTGTAATACGGTAATTTCCAGTCCACGAGACCGCATTTCAGAGCGAGCTCCTGGTGTAGAATTCTGGCTACTAGGTTGTGCCTGTGCAAGTACTCAGAGTTATAAAGCGCCGAACAACCGGAGATGACATGCCTAAGGGACTCCTCGGGATGGCGACAAGCTCGACAGACGTCGACAGTGCCATCCTTTAGGATGTATCTCCGATATTTGTTGGTCTTAATAACCTGATCCTGTATTACACAGACAAAACCCTCGGTTTCCCCCGAAGAGGTCACTGAAACGTAGCCAGTTGAGGGAGGCGGCTGTATCTACGTGGGGCTCATGTAGAGCCCTGTAATACCTCCCGTGGAGCTCCTTCTCCTTACATACGGTCTCCCGGTCGGAAATGCTCTGTACTGCCGGGTCCTGCCATTGCTCGTTGGCTAAGGATAGAGGGGTAAGTCCTTTATCACTAGAAATTACGTCATTATAGAATGGATCATCCGATCTCGTCAGAAAGTAATGACGGAGGCTGCACACTTCGCGATTATGCATGGTGAGCGCGCTCAAGAAGCCACGTCCGCCATGTTTTCGCGGCAAGTACAGCCTCATTACCGACAATCTCGGATGATGCATCCTATGGGACGTCATGATAGTGCGGACTTTTCCATCCAGGGCATTTAGTTCAGTCTGACTCCACCTGAGTATGCCAAAGGTCAAATACATGATGACAGGCATGACCCAGCCGTTATATGCGTGTGTCTTATTCACACCGGACAAAAGGCTGTTAAGCACTTTGGTCAAGCGTGCATAAAACACGTCGCAAACTGACTGTTTCATACCAACCTCATCGATACCGATGTTCTGTGACATACCCAGGTATCGGTATGTTTCAGCCTCGGGAAGGGTCCTTAAGTTGACGGGCATAGATAAGTCTATGCCCTCAGATTTAGCAACCCTTCTCCTTTCAACATGGAAGACCTCACACAGATCCGTCCCCAGCTCCATTCTAATAGAATTGCTAAATTCACAAGTAATGTTTAGCCATTCCATAAGATGGGAGCGACTGGAGGCGAATAATTTGAGGTTATCCATATGGAAAAGGTGGGTCACTTTTGTACCTCCTTTCCGAAGCTGAAATCCCCTCCCGGAGCCCTCCAGTAAAGTACTGAGAGGGTTCAAAGAGAGGCAGAACCAGATTGGACTCAGACAGTCGCCCTGGAATATACCCCTTCTTATCCTTATGCGGCTTACCGCAGCCGTCATCCGCTCGTCTAGATGACAGAGGATCTTACTCCACTGCCTCATACACTGCTCGAGGAAGTCTCGAACTGTACAGTCAATCTTGTACAGTTCGAGGACCCTATTTAGCCATGTATGGTGCACCGAGTCAAATGCCTTTCTCTAATCTATCCAGGCGGCGGAGAAGTTCCGACGTTTGCGTTTCACCACTTTGCCAATGACTGCGTCAATGAGGAGTGGTTCCTTGGATCCACGACCGCCGCCCCGACATCCATTTTGAGCACGCGACATCACCTAATTTGAGTCCAGGTGACGAGTAATTCTCGCACTCAAAATGGATGTTAGTGTCTTGTATATGGTCGGTAAACACGTGATGGGGCGTTATTTGCTCGGGTCTGTGGCACCCTGATCTTTAGGAACCAAATGAGTGATCCCAGTAGTGAAGAGGCTCGGGAGCGACTTCTGGTTGAGAGCCTCTTGAAACTGTCGATCGAGCACAGCATGAACCCCTTCAGCCAGTAGTGATGCAGCCCGTCAAGCCCCGGACTTTTCCAGTTCGGGGCCCTACGGACCGCCTCAGCTACGTCATCCGGCGTTATGATGACGGGGTCCATGGGCGTAATACCCGCACACTGACTCGCCACAACTTCCGTCCAAGGGCCCTCGTTGTGTTTTACGGGCTCTGACCACAGGCTGCGCCAGAATGCGACCATGTCGGCCTGATTCGGTACTGGGCCCGTTCCACTTACCATTAGTCGCTCCAATGATTTATAGAGCCTCTTCTGATCACTCTGGAAGAGGCGATTCTGGTTGAACCGTGTCGACCTCTCGGTATATCGCCGAATCCGCTTTCCCCAAGCAGCGATTCTCTGCTTCAGGTCGTCTATGCGCTCCGTCAGTTTTTGCATTATATCCGGCTAATTATATCCGTTTGCTGGGATACAAACTAACATTTGTCCCAGCAAACGCCATCCTGACGTTGCGCACAATCCTTGGCTGGTATTGCCTGACCTGAAGCACATCGGTCTGCCGATGAGGGCCCTAGCCTTTGCGATACGTTCTTCAATTCTTGTTCTCCAGGCTGGGATAGCACTACTTTGTCCAATAGTGCGTCCAGCCGTGGAAACTTTGGCGCCTATAAGACGGCAGACTGCCAGTGCGGCGCCAAAGAGAATTGAGTCCGTCTCGCAAAGGTCCCGGCTGGCTTCCAAATAGGTGACCAGCATTGGGTTCAGAGCCCTCACGATAGACCGATTCCGCTTTCCTCAGAAACATAGCCCTCAGGCTATGCGGGGAAGTCGCGGTCGATTTTCGAGAGGCGTACTGTGCGTTTCCAAAATCGCCTCATCCAATGTACTCCTCATTTGCTCCAGTTCCAGTTCCTGGGCGACTGTTCCATCATCGTTTGAATCAACCAAAACTGGGGTATTCACGGCGGCATCCACGTCTGTCGGTTGCTCTGCAAGTTGTGGCGCCGCATCCTCAGCCGTAGCATTTTCATCCGATGAAGGAACAGCCTCACGTCGTAGCCGTTCGAGTTCGGTGACATCAAATGTATTTGAGCGCAAGATATACCGGACTCGGTCTGCCAGGTTTTGCTCGGTGACGGTTACAGATGGCTCCAGCTCAGCAAAAAGTCGATGCATCCTTGCCCGATACGCAAAACCTCCAATTTCTCCCCCTTTCGCCCTAAAATACGCCCGCAATGCGTTGCTGTTCATTTGAGTTGTCCAACGCATGCGGCGTGCTCCACCAGTGGCGGGTGCCGATTGCTGGGCCCGCGAAGACCCTGCCGACACCAAGCCAGCTGGTGGGGATGATGGATGCGAGGGGCTGCTGGGTGGTCGTGCAGCACCTCGCGCTCGTTGGCTGGTGGCCAGCTCCAGACGCGCCCTGGCGTCCTCCAGGCAGCGGCCCTTTGCGCATTCTTGTCAAATCCATCATCCATTTTTGGATCATAATTTATGTTATTATTATGGGGTATCTATATAGTTTTCTCATCTGGTTGGGTTATATAAATATATAATTATAAACGAAAATGAAAAGATAAATATACATAAATATCAATAAATTAAAATAAATACAAAAATACATAAATAAATAAAAGCCCAACCAGATGGAAGCCCTCGGCAGGGGAGACCAAACGGCCAAGGGTTAGGGGGAAAGGGAAAGAAACCGGCGGACGATGCGGGCAGTATCAAGGAGCACCGCCTTCTGCATTTGAGCCCGGAGCGGTCCGTCACGGAGTCCCAGTCGCCTCAGATGACCAGAGAGGCTGACTGGGATTAGCCCATTCGCAGAGACGACTACAGGAATAATTTCGGCCGGCAGACCACCCCACATGTCGGTCACCTCGTGAGCCAGGTCCAGATATTTTAATTGCTTATCTGTTTCGGCTCTCACGAGGTTCTCGTCATACGGGATGGTAATATCGACCAAAAATATCCTTGACTGTGCCCGGTCCATCAGCACAATATCAGGCTTATTCGCAAGAATAGTCTTGTCTGTGATGATGGCCCGGTCCCAGTAGAGCCTGGCGCGGTCATTTTCGAGCACGGCTTCCGGCAAGTACTTGTAATACGGCAATTTATATAATTATTAAATATTATTATTATTATATTATATTAAATATATTATTATTATTATTATTATTCTTATAATAAAAGATTTTCATTTCGATATGTAGTTTCGCTAAAAGTACGTAGGATTTATATATAAATATACTTATACGTCTTGGACTTTATGGAGTGACGTGAAGGTGTACTTTGGTCAATGCATAATTAAAATACTGGTTATGACTGGAAGAAAGACTTTTTGAACACGAAATAAAGTTGATGAGAAAAAAATAGTAACCAGTCAGGTAAAAAAAGACTAGTGTTTACGATAATGCCGGAGTTTAAATATATAAAAATTACAGTAATATAAAAGTTGATTTCTGATCGTTTTAAGATAATTCAGATAAAAGTATTTTCAATCAACAATATAAAAAAATGAATCTCAATAATAATAGCATAGTAAAATTAAAATAAATATTTTCTATTGTTGATTGAGAATTTTCTCTACATTTTTTCACGATCATATATATGCATTGTGAGTAGCTTTTTTGTATTTTCTTTTGTATTTTCCAAACTTTTTATTGAAGTTTAACATAAACTTATCTGAAAAATAAGAAGTTATAGTAATAACGTTGTTCGTAAAAACTAGTATGTATTTAAAATACTTTAAAAATTGACGAACAACATGAGCGCTTAAGGCATGCACATTTGGATTTACCTAAAGTTTATTTCGTTCTTTAAAGTATGCACATTCATGATACAGTTAAAATCAAATGTATTTTGGCATATTTATTCAAAGCTCACCGTAAAAGGACAGACGATTTTTTAAATTCTCTCTTACACAGTGCTGCCAACCAGTTAATATGTCATAAGGGGTAAAGGATTGATAGCTGCCAACTACTGCCACCAATAAGTTAAATAACTCTATGGGTACTACCACCTGCTTCATTACAGCCCTTCACAAGTCCACTGCTGAACATAGGCCTCCCCCAAGGTACGTCACAAAGCACGGTCCTGAGCCACCTGCATCCATCGTCTTCCTGCATGTCTTACAGGTCGTCACTCCATCTAGTGGGCGGTCGCCCTACACTTCGCCTACCGGTACGAGGCTGCCACTCGAGAACCCTTCTTCCCCAACGGTTGTCGGTTCTTCAACCTATATCGCCGGCCCATTGCCACTTCAGCTTACTAATCCGTTGGGCTATGTCGGTCACTCTGGTTCTACTGCGGATATCCTCATTTCTAAGTTTATCACGCAGAGAAACTCCGAGCATAGCCCTCTCCATAGCTCGCTGAGACTGCTGGCCATATGAGGACGCTCAAAGTCGGCGCCCTCATACGGCCAACAGTGAAGGACCACGTCTCGGTTCCGTAGGTCATCACTGGCAACACGCACTGGTTTTACAACTTAGTTTTGAGGTATGCCTGACGAGAAGATGCGTCGTAATTTCCCGAACGTTGCCCAGCCGAGTTGAATCAGTCGATTGACCTCACGGTCGAAGTTGGACTTACCTAGTCGGATTATTTGTCCCAGGTAAACGTACTCGTCAACAACTTCGAGCTTAGTGCTCCCAACAACTACCGGCATATGTGTGACATGGACATTAAACATGATCTTTGTTTTGTGCATGTTCATCATAAGACCTATCCGTTGGGAGGCATTATTGAGGTTATTGATCATAGTGTTTAAGTCCTCCAGCGATTCTGCCATAAGGACTATATCGTCGGTAAATCGAAGGTTAGTGATTTACTCGCAATTAATGTTAATACCGTATCCTTTCCAGTCCAGTAGCTTGAAAACGTCTTCCAATGCAGCGGTGAAGAGTTTCGGGGATATAACGTCACCCTGTCTTACACCTCTCTGCAGTTGGATAGGTTTCGTACTCTGGTTCTGTACTCGGATAGCCTTCGTAGCCCTACTGTACAAACACTTCAGCACTTCAATATACCTACAGTCATCAACTTGGCACCGCTGAAGAGACTGTAGCACCGCCCAAATTTCGACGGAATCAAAGGCTATCTCATAGTCCACATACGCCAGGCAAAGCACCTGCACCTGCAAATGCAAAGGCACCTGCTTGGGACCCTATAATCAATGAAATTAAAATTAAACCCAAGTATACCACTGCAAGACTTCAAGACATAGTCAGTTCATTTTGCTTAAATCAGACCATAAACACTAATTAAAAAAGCTGATGGTACTCGGGGTTTAAAAGTGACATCGGGACGTCAGTCATTTCAGTCCCTCGTGACCATGGATGCTGGAAAGCACCTGAAACGTCGGGAAGTAAAAATAATTAAAAATTAAACGCGATGAAATTCGTAATAGTATTTATGTGTAGTGTTGGTGTAAATATAAAAAATCATAACATATCTAATATTATAGCTGATTTAGAAGTTTTTATATTGATAGTAATAGCTGGTTATCATTTATTCGATGTTTTATGAAAATGTATGTAGTTTATCATAAACTTTCTAAACCATCGTATCGGTTCGATGCATCGTATTTTAAACATCGAGTGAAGTCGATTCATCGATGTTAATGAAATAGCCCTATTTGTGACAGCGTCATTTTGATTGTTCGCTGTCGATTTCGTCGTCGTTTTGGACAGTTTTGGTTTTGGAGTCTTTTATTTTGCTTAAGGGGAATGTTGTGTGATTTTGCGTAACTTAATAATTTTTGTTACTTCTCATGGTGCAGGCTAAAAATGTGAGAATTGTGAAATGTTTTGATGTAAAAGCAATGAAATCTGTTGTAATCTTAGTGTCATATTTATAGGTTTGTACAAATTCGCATCGATTTTTTAAATTATTTGTACGTTATTTAAATGAAAATTATTTTAATTATTTAAATATATTAAGCTAAGATAATGTATTTAGTTATTTTATTACTAATCTGTGTCTACCGAGGCTTTTTCGGGTTTCTATGTAACATAAAATCATCTTATTTTTTGCATCATTTAGCATATGAACTAGTATCCTGTTTTCGGGTTTTAGGATTATTATTTTAGAGATAATAAATATATTAATATGTATTTTCTTAAATTATATCATATAACTATCTTTAGGTTTTTAATGATAAGCGCTATTTTTTAACATAATTGTCATGTTTTTTAAGTAATATTTGTATTTTTGGGCTAACCATAATAATGCTCAATATAAATTCTTTAAATACATCCACATATTTCCGACGAACTGTCATCTTTCACTGGAAAGTTGTTATTAACATCAGTTATTATATAATCATGCTTGTATTGCTTGCATTTGCTTAAATATTTTTTTCTTGTAAATTTATTACAATTTAAGGGTTTTTTAATATAGAATAAGAGTGACTAATAGTTAAACAGTACACCTGATATTATTTAAGTGGATGCTGTTGTCCATAGACACTTACATCCATCCTTGATTAATAATCAAAATGGAATGCTTTTTTACCACTTAAAACGGTATCTGGTTCTCTGTAAGGTTTTGGTTTTCCTAAGTTCAGCTGACTTATTCATGCTGCTACCATAATATAGCTATAGCAGCCGGGCCTTTCCATGCCACAAAAGACACATTGGACATCTGGTATTTTAATCATTAACCTGTCTGCCAATTATTTTTAATGTGTCTATAAATTCTCCCTAATTAAGAGTGGTTCATGTCCAATAGAGGAAGCTTTGGATTGGAATTCTAGCCAGGTGCTTTATTTGGGTAAAATGACAATTGTTTTAAGATTAAAATTTCATTTACTGTGTGTATCACCCCATGGATGACGTAGGAGGCAACAGATGGAAACAAATCAGAAGATGGGCAGCAGCATCTTCCTCATAACAACTACAAGTAAAAATAAAACTGTGGTTGTCAAACTGCTTGCCAAGCGTGGCAACTATGGCAAATAGTGAGTAGCCTCCGTGAGGCAATCTATGAGGGGGGCCTAACAGTGAACTTTTACGGACTGTAATAGATAGAATTGGTAATGGAAGATAAAAATGAATTTTAATTGCCTTTGAATTGCTTATATAATGCATTAAAGCTCCTTTGTAGCTATTACATATAATGGTCACATCATATTACATGATACAGATTTTGCATGTTACCTACACTTTAAA